AAGTGTGTCAAGCATTTGTGGTGGTGGGTTTCTTTGGGTGTTTTTTTCTCCTCCATATTAGATGCTTTGTTAAAAATGTGGTTTTCAAAGGCTTTAAACAATTAAATAGCACAAAAAACTTTACATCTTAAACTAGAACACTCCCCATTTCTCTTCCCTTGATCAACTCAAACCAAAATTCCATTTATTTTAGTAACCTAACTCGGGTGGGGACTTCTTGTGACATGGCCACCCGACCACTCAGAACTACACTAACGTCGCCAGCGCAATGTTGCCAACCCCAAATGTTAAAAAATCCCCTCAAAAATGAGACTGACTTAAAAATTATGGGATTTTTTTAAAAAATAAAATTGGGGGGAGGGGCTCTCTTTAATTGCCTTTTAGTTTTTGAGTCTCCAGAGAGCACTTGGGACACATTTTCAAGCATTGCTCTGCAACCATGAAGGATAGAACCTAAAAACAAACAAACAAAAAAATAGCTGAGATTCTTGCATAATCATACTTCTCCAGTAGTTTTAAGAAAAATGTTGACAATCTCAAAACTCGGGTAGTGCTGTCCCAAAAGGATGGGTAGATGGCCTTAACTGCCTCATTACCTGTTAGGTTCACTCCTGCTGCGGTACCTGGCATTGGCCACTGTCAGAGGACAGGATACTGGACTGGATGGACCTTTGATCTGACCCAGTATGGCCATTCTTATGTTCCTGCAAAATGACTGACTGAGGACTCCTGCTTTATGCATGGCAGCATGTTCCCTGCTGGTGTGGAGGTAGTCAACGCCAATCAGGAGTGACAGTTGGGGTTGGTTTGTTTTTTTGGTTTATTGGTTGGAGATTTGGGGGGGGGGATTACTAATATAATCCCCCAAAGTGTTAGTGTGAATTTTTAAAAATTAGAGAGATGGAAACTTTAATTATGATAACAAGCTCAGGAAATTATATTTTGTTGGAAAACTACAGTGCAAGGCCAACAGCATATTGGGCTGCATTAGTTGGAGCATTGCCAGCAGATCGAGGGAAGTGATTATTCCCCTCTATTTGGCACTGGTGAGGCCACATCTGGAGTATTGTGTCCAGTTTTGGTCCCCCCACTACAGAAGGGATGTGGACAAATTGGAGAGAGTCCAGCGGAGGGCAACGAAAATGATTAGGGGCTGGGACTCATGATTTACGAGGAGAGGCTGAGGGAACTGGAGTTATTTAGTCTGCAGAAGAGAAGAGTGAAAGGGGATTTGATAACAGCCTTCAACTACCTGAAGTGGGGGTTCCAGAGAGGATGGAACTAGGCTGTTCTCAGTGGTGGCAGATGACAGAACAAGGAGTAATGGTCTCAAGTTGCAGTGGGGGAGGTCTAGGTTGGATATTAGGAAACACTATTTCACTAGGAGGGTGGTGAAGCACTGGAATGGGTTACCTAGGGAGGTGGTGGACAAAACCCTGGCTGGGATGATTTAGTTGGTTTTGGTCCTGCTTGGAGCAGGGGGTTGGACTAGATGACCTCCTGAGGTCTCTTCCAACCCTAATATTCTAGGATTCTTTTATATTGATAGGGTCCCATTCATTCTAGTATAAATACCCTGTGGCAGGCTTCAGGAAACAATCTGCATGAAAGCGAGCAGTGCAGACCCAGTTGCAGATGCTGTGGCTTGAGGAAGATGTGAGCCTTTTTCAGGAATGCGATTATTTCAGAAAACAGCTTCTTCCAAGAAGTTCAGAGATTTAGAGTTTTCAAAACATTGCTCATATCAGGGAAAAAGACAGCATTTCGCCTCCTGACATTCCCCAGGGGTCTTTTGTATCCCGCTGCGGTGGGGATTTCATACAAAGTATGAAATTAATGAAAATACATATTTAGATCATGGAAAATAACACAAACCAGTCCTGTATTTGTTTGGAGAGGAGCCCTGAGGTTTATTGTGCTAATAGGTATCTAGGCATTCCTTCAAACACCGCAGTCTTTATGCACACATAAATACTAATTTTGGAATGGGTGCTCTGTGCACAGTTACATCTGACCCCTGTGAGAGCAGACAAGTGTGGGAGGGCTCAAGAAGATTGCCTTCCCATTGTTTCTCCCCTTCACAAAGATAGCTCCCTACTAGTATAATGACACACCCCATGGGTCACAAGCAGGGCTTTGAACCTGGGACCTTCTGCACCAAAAGCACAGGCCTCAACCAAAAGAGCTAAGGGAGTAACAGCTATTAGGAGGCAGCAGTGGTCTGTTGCTCTCTATGTGGACTAGCTACAAGAGGAAAATGTGACATACCTTTGCCTAGTGTGTTATAATAGTGTCCTCTGGGCATTAGCCACCCTAAAGTGGATAGGAAATATGGGAGAAGAAAGAGGACCATGACCTTGTCCTTGTTCTACACTGTTAGCATCCAACAGGGCGGTACGCTTTCTCTGCCCTTTGGTGCGCTCCAGATGTCATTGTGCCTCCCAGAGCTCTCTATGCCTCTAAATGTCCCCCAATATATGTTAGCCCTTAATGTGCACAGGAGCTACGAATGCTGATCAACAATCATGCCATGCAGACAACTTCCAATGAAGCCAAGGAGAATTTGGCATGAGACAGGACTGAGTAGGAATCGCATGTAAATAGCCTTAGGAAATTTATATTTTTTGAGTGGTTGCTATGTGACTACTTTTCAAAGTGAACTGTCTCAGCTTTTTATAGTCCTCCCCCTCCCATCTAGCGAAGAACGCCATTGTGAGCTAATCTCTCATATCTGTAAGAGAAGACTCATTCTTTTTTAATTTCTGGAAGAAAAAAAAACCCACTGAAAATATGCCAAGATTCAGACAAGAGTGGGATTTTTTAATAGCTGTTATAAACCTCTTAAAATAGGGGTTTATGGTGGACCAGACAGACCCTTAGTGGCATTGCCAGTTGTCACTAAAGTGTATGTAAGACAAAGGAAAGAATTTTTCTGACCTTTTTATTTTTTTTATTTTTATGAAGAACAGCTTATTCTCTGACAGCAGCTAGGGGAGTTGACATGGAGGGAACCGTTCTTGTCATACACTTCTCTGAATTGGGCTGAGGATCTGACTGCAGTCGTTGTTGAAGTGGAATTTAAAAACACAATGTACGAATACATCCCTGCCTTGAAAAAACAGAATTGAAATATTACTAGACAGTTTCCAAAGAGGAAAGTCTCCATTTTTAGCTGGATGTGGCCCCACCCTGTATGTATCATTGTTTATTTGTAAGCTTGTTTCCTTTTCTTCTTATCAGAATCTTTCAGCTGTAAATTAAAATAAAGACCCAAGCTATGACGCAGTTACAGGGCTCTTGACTAAGTGATGTGAGGAGTTCTTCATGCAGAGCTTTGAAGAAGGTTTCATTAGATTAATAGTTGGATAATTAGTGGGGGGGGGACAAAAGATTTCTATGGTTTTGTGGGATAGTTTAATCTTGGTGTAACTCCACTGAAGACAGTGGAATTAGACCAAGGATGAAGTAGGCCCAGTTTACAGTAAATAATTTTTATATATTGCATTGCTAGAACACCCTTCATGCTTTGGACGTGAAAGTGATGTACAAATGACGACCACCCCCATGCTCACCTTGAGCAGAGATGATTCTGTACTCATGGTTTGTGGCTGGAATGTAGGTAGGCATCAGGATTGTTTCCTTTCCCTGACCCCATAGACATCTTCTTTTGGTGAATCCAGGGGGTCTAAGATCTACAGATTTGGAGGTAGCGGGGAGGGCAAAAGCTAGGGGCAGGAGGGTGCAAGCTAGGAGCTTGGCCAAGCTCTGCCAGATCTCACAGCGGAGCATATGGGCCTAAGAAGGGTCCATTATTGAAGTCTACAGTTTGTGCCCTCTGGGGTTTGTAACTCTCCTGTACCCACCAAGCTAAGAAATGGGTTGAGGGGGATTCTGAGGCTAACCAGCTCTTGGGGAGTCAGGCTCCTGCAGAATCTGTGCTGTACAGGGTAGTACAAGTGAGGGGCTGGTTGGCAAAAGAGCTTCCATTAGTCTCCTGGGGTATGTATGGTTCTCGGGGCTCTGTACATTTGAAGGTTGGAACCTTCAGCTTCTGTGAGTGGGATCAAACTCCTGCACCTGACAGGAGACTTTGTAGGCTACAACTCACTGTGTGCCCACTCCCCAATGTGGGTTGTGTAACAGGCTGACAGTGTTTGCCTGATACATTGCACTTTGGTAGCAGATGTTCAAAAGGATAAATGGGTTCTGCTTACTCACTGAAGCAGTGGCTTGATTACTCCACTTGGATATATGGAAAGTGGGCATGACTTGTGGGGGCAGAGAGGATCTAGGGTGTGGGCAGAGCAATTCTGAGCAAGGTACTCTATGAGCAGCCAAGTGTGGAAGAGAAGATTAGAGCTAAACTTTGTTATCTTATTATTGTTGAATTCTTGATTAATAAAGGCAAACCCCAGTAAAGGGTCAAGTTTGTATTTATCTAGTGCACAGGAATCTGCTTACAATACAGCACAATGGAAGCACAGCCACCTCTGGGGGGGAGGCTGGCAATCAACCTATGCCCAACAGTGCAGGAGAGGAAACTTGGACTGAAGATGCTGGGGTCAACCATTAGACTTACTGAAAATGCCATAATGGGATCTTCGAACCCTTCATTTTTTAAGAGTAACCTCGCTCAGACTCAGTGATCACAGATAAAGGTGGAATCGTTTGAAGGAATCATAGAATCATAGGACTGGAAGGGACCGTGAGAGGTCATCTAGTCTAGTCTAGTCTCCTGCACTCATGGCAGGACTAAGTATTATCTAGACCATCCCTGACAGGTGATTGTCTAACTTGCTCTTAAAAATCTCCAATGATGGAGATTCCAGAACCTCCCTACGCAATTTATTCCAGTGCTTAACCACCCTGACAGTTAGGAAGTTTTTCCTAATGTCCAACCTAAATTTCCCTTGCTGCAATTTACACCCATTGCTTCTTGTCCTATCCTCAGAGGTTAAGAAGAACAATTTCTCTCCCTCCTCCTTGTAACAACCTTTTATGTACTTAATAACTGTTATCATGTCCCCTCTCAGTCTTCTCTTTTCCAGACTAAATGGTAAGCATTTGCTCAAGCTACCCGACAACTTGGCCAACACAAGCAAAGTGTAAGCAGACATACAAGTTGAAAATAATTCACAAATTGACCCTGTTATTGACCATGAGATTAAAAAGTCTGTTACAGACAATCCAGAGGGTTTGCACTATAGCAGATCAGGAAAATTGCTGAAATGCCCTAAGAGACTGATTGAGATGTATTATGGTTGTATTTGAGCAATGTGAAGGGTTGTTAAGTCAGTTATTGTATTTGTAATAGTTTATTAGTTTAATTTAATAGTGTTTTTTTAGTTTAGTCAGGAAATTTAGAAAGGGATCTAGAAAAGGGAAGTTGTAACATAGAGTAAGTCCTCCAGGGAGTATAGAGATGCCAAATTTCCTGAACACTCCAGGTGCAAACTCTGGTTTCAGGTGACACATTTCCTGCTGAGGCAGAAACAAAGAACCCAGGACAGGACAGTTGCAGGCTGCAGCTACACAGAGGAGTAGTAAGTTTTGTTAACTCATTTCTGTGCATAGCTCCTGTTCATGATAAATGATTTATCTTGACACCTGTTTGATCATCAGTAAGATACTTCAAGGGCCATCCCCATGGAGCTCTGTGCCTCCAAACTGGCTGCCAAACATTTGCAGCCTCTTCTGGCCATCCATCAGCATAAGTCCTGCAGAAGTATCCTACACAGGCTGTACTGTTGACCTCTCTTCATATGAGGTTAGTTGATAGCAATGAGGTGATAAACTATTAATGTATCCCAAAAATTCCATGAGATTATTATGGAGGACAATGCCACAGCTGCAGAAGTTAAAGAAACATTGCAGTCCTGTGACTAAGAGAGAATCTGGTGCACCATTAGAATCATGCATCAGAATATGTCAATATTCACACAGAGCAAAGAGGACCTCAGCTTTGAAAGCATCATCCAGTGATCCATGTACAGTGAACACCTTGGAATTCCATCGATCTACTTGGAGAATATAAAGGGCTGAGTCAACCCGGTAAGGACGTGAATCTATGGTTCCTGGGACTCTAGACTGAGTGACTATGAAGGTGTTTCATAGATTTTAAGGCGAGAAGAAACCATTATGATCATCTAGTCTGGACTCCTGCGTAACATAGGCCATACAACCTCATCCAGTAATTTCTGCATCAACTCCGTAACTTCTGTTTGAGCTATAGTGTATCTTTTAGAAAGACATCCAGTTTTGATTTAAAGACTTCAGGTGATGGAGCATCTACCACATCCCTAACTAGGTTGTTCTAATGGTTAATTACCTCACTATTAAAAAGTTGTACCTTATTTCTAGTCTGAATTTATTTAGCTTCAGCTTCCCAACACTGGATCTCATTAGGCCTTTTTGTGATAGATTAAAGAGACTTCTACTATCAGAAATGTCTTCCCTCTATAGATACTTGTAGACTGAAGCAAGTCACCTCTTTACCTTCTCTTAGATAAATGAAATAGATTGAGCTGCTTAAGTCTCTCACAGTAAGGCATGCTTTCCAGACCTCAAAATCATTTTTGTCTTTTCAGAACCCTTTCCAATTTTGCAACATCCTTTTTGAAATGTGGACACCAGAACTGGACACAGTATTCCAGTAATAGTCTCATTCGTATCATATACAGAAGTAATACCATCTCCTTATACTGAAAAACATGTGGAGAGTGAGGGATGGAACTGACCCTGATTCTTTCCTTTATTAAGTTGCAAGTGCTGACAAGGTTTGTGAAAATACTGTGATTTGTGATACGTTGTGATTTTCCTACCTAAAATAACGGGGACAAATTCACTGCTGTATTAGGTCAGCACTACTCCATTGATTCCACTGCTTATGGCAGTGATTATTTAGGCCCAGGGGCAGTGTTCCCTCTAATTTTTCCCACCCATGTGCAGAATGAATTTTGTTGTATGTACCAATATGGAGGTGATGTGTGACACATCACCTCCATATTGGTGGACATAACAAAATTCATGTGGCGGGGTGGGGCCGAGGAGTTCAGAGTGTGGGACAGAGGGTTGGGGTGCAGGGGGGTGAGGGCTCCAGATAGAGGTGCGGGCTCTGGGGTGGCGCCGGGGATGAATGACTCACGGGTGGGGCAGAGGGTTTGGGTGTGTGGGGGAGTGAGGGCTCTGGCTGGGGGTCAGGGGGTTGGGGTGCAGTGAGGCTCCCCGGGGCTACAGTGGGGAGAGAGGACTACCCCCAGCAGCACCTGGGCTGGGGGGGGGAGAGGCACCTCTCCCCCGGCTGCAGCAGGCCTGGGCTGGGGGGGTCAGGGCTGGGGGAGGGGCGTCTGTCACCCTAAGGAATGGTTCGTAGGCGGCCTTTGTTATGTGGAAACGTTCTGCAAATCAGGACTCATGTGCCAATAGACACAACAGTTTTTCCCCTTGTTGATTTTATACCAATTAATACCCATCACATTTTACACTCTCACAGCTGTCCGATTAACATGCATGGATGCACGTTAGCCATCGTTTGCACACCAGGACATGAATTGGATGCACCATAATTAGAGAAATCTGCTATCACTTTAAGAATATCACAGATTCTGAAGTTTGTTCCAATTGCTTTGCTAGCACTGGCTCTCATAAAACAGTTTATTCCAATCAGGGGAAGCATCTAATGTGGTTTCATAAGCCAATTTGTTCAAGGTAGTGAGTAAATAATATCAGACATATGCATTGCTCATCTTTGGGAAGAACAGGCAAGCTCACTGTAAGCAGGGCACACACAGTCTGACCAAATCACAAACCATCATCTTCCCTGTGGGTAATTGAGGGATTTGAGTTATTGACATCACTACCACTGTCGTCCTGTCTTCCTGACAGTATAGCCTAGTGATGATGTGAATCATGAGCCATGGAAAATGGCAGAAGTAAGGCACTTCTAGCTACACAAAGGAAACTTTTATCATCCCAGCTGGATCTGGTCCTCACTATGGAATTGCTTTTCCTGGCAATCACTGGGCTAGATTGTGGCTTGGCATGTGTGACCACAGGAAGGCGTTAAGGAGCTATAAAGCAACCCCTTACTCTGTTGTGCTAGCTATCCAGATTGCAGATAGCAGGATAGGGAGTAAAGCAGCTTCTGTGGGCTGCTGCATTCCCCCAATGTTCAATTGGAAGGGAGAGGACAGGATGGGGTGAGTGATATACCTCTCTCATAGAGCTGGAAAAGACCCTGAAAGGTCATTGAGTCCAGCCCACTGCCTTCACTAGCAGGATCAAGTACTGATTTTGCCCCAGATCCCTAAGTGGCCCCCTCAAGGATTGAACTCACAACCCTGGGTTTAGCAGGTCAATGCTCAAACCACTGAGCTCTCTCTCCCCCAGAGCTCCCCCTGAAAGTGTTAGCTAATGTAGCTATACTGGTGCTCTGGGGGAAGTATGCTGCACCAGTACAGACCAGGTATAAACCTGGTGCAGACTTCTTCCTCCTAGAAGCAAGGGGGACCTTGAAGAAAACCGAATCACAGTCTGCCTTCTGATCTGCTCCAGTCACTACAACAATGTGCTACCACCTGCTCAGGGCTCATGGCAAAACCATGACTGAGCCCATAGTGAGTGCAAAGGGATCTATTTCCAGATATCCAGGTTGCTGTTGAAAACTATCCATTTTGAGGAGCTAACCACTGACTGGCATTGGTTAGGTGCCGCACATTGCATTTGTTTTAGCATTTTGGCTAACCCTAAAATATACCCTTACTAACTGGACAGAGTGTTGCAGGTAGAGTTACTTCATTAGCAGAAGCACCAAGAGCCCTGAAAACTTGTAACGGTGGAGTGCAAACACATGAGGCTGAAACCTCTTTTGCCTGAGTTTTGATTATAACCCCTCATGTGCTCCATGCTGATTTTCCCCCTCCTTTTTAAGAAATGGAAATGACTGAATTTAATGCTGGTTAAAGATGCTGGCCTGACAGCCTTGGAGGCTGAAGTTCAGAATATGCTGTGGCAGTCCAGACTTCCCCTCTCCTTCGCCAATGTGCCTCAGTCCTACTCTGAAGGGAGCACTCTAGGAGCAAGAGACTAGTTCAGTCACTGGCCTCCCTGCTCAGACTGCCTATAATGCTACTAATTAATGCCAATAGTGATGGTGCACACTGTGACATGTACACGTGGGTGCTAGGAACTGGTCTGTGGCCATCAGCCTATTTCACACAAACCACCAACTAGTAACAGCTTCCATCTACTTCTTATTTAAGCCAGGTTAGAATCTTTTTCCTAGAGGTGAAAGGCTTTAGAGCCCATTACCAATCCCCTGAGCCTTCTAATTGCTGAAACGTAACAGTGATCTCAGTGTAAGGACCATGCAAGCAAGAGAAATACAGAATACACAATAGTGCTTATCATGAGCTTATTAAAGTATATTTTTATTGTTGGCTTACACTGCACTCATAAGAGTAACAAATATAAGGCATCTGCATGCCCAAAAGCATAATGTACAGCTATGCATCAGGTAGTCACCATTCCTATTATTCGCGAATTTACTTTTTCCTTTTGGGTCACATGTCTGGAATAAGGTACGGCTAGTACATTTTCAGTCATAATAAATAAATACAGAAATATACAGAACAAAAAAGAACAACAAATCCTGAGGACAAATCCCACCAAACAACGTTCTCAAGGGACTTCCCTTTGTCACCTTTTTTGACATTTAGGGTCTTTTACTGTTTTATACTGTATTGCCTGTATGTATGTTTTCTCCTTGACTGTTCAGCTGTATATTCCGAAAGAGAAGACCATGCTGAATAAGATTCCTCAGATTTAACCGGAAATGCATAGATCATTTTCCCTATTATCACTGTGAGCCTGATCCAAAGCCCAGTGAAGTCAGTGAGAATCTTTTAATAGGTTTTAGATCAGGCCCTATGTGCCATACATATGAGAACTGATTTGCGTGTGCTGGGAACATAGAAAATTCTATTCCGTTATTTTCCTCTTTTAAAAAGGGATATGGTCTGTACCAGGTTCCTTTTTAAAATTGTTTTTACAAAGTATATCCTAAGTACAATTTCCTCTGCTGTACACATAGCTGGTGTTTGCTTCAATATTCTTTCAACAATGTTTATAATGCTGGGGGCAGAGACATAATATGTTCCTATGAACTCTTTCTTTTACTCTCTTCAGCAATCTTTGGCCAGATTCTGATCTCAGATACTTCTGGAGTAACACCACTGAAGTGAAGTCGATAGATTTACTTCAGATTTGCATGGGTGTAACTGAGTTAAGAACTTGGCTCCTAAAAGTCACTAGTTTCCATGGACAGGACAAGGTTGGAATGTCTACATGATCGTGTATTAGATTGTTATAAGGTGTGTTTGCATACATATAAATAATTTCTTACATATAGTGCTAGATATTTTTAGTCATTCCTTTAATTCTATCTGCATATTTTACATTTCCCCACATCGGGAAACATCTTTTACTTAACCCAGTCTTTTGGTTTTACTCAATATTGGATCAAACCCCTAGATCTAATCACCTCCAATCTATAGGAAATGTCTGTAAACGGAGCCCATCACAAACGCAATATATATTTTAAATAACCATATGAAATCTTCAAGTGAGTTTCAGACACTTGATGTACAGGTGAAATCCACAAATGCTCCCTCACCATCCCGCACACCTGATTTCCCATCTTGAATTACTGGTGTCAGATTCTTTCATCATGTACAAATGCCACTTTTCTATTCTAAGCTTCCATTTACTGGAGATAATTGAACCACTCTAATGCATTGATCTGTAAAGCGCTTTGCAATATCTTCAGTATGAAAGGAGGCAAAAACCAAATTCTGGTCTATAAACTACTAAAAAAGTTCATCTCTTTGGTGAGAGAATCATTATTCTCTAATCTCAGTTTTCTTGCCAGTGTCTTACACATGGTGACACATGGGGGCTGGAAGGATTTTTGGGACTGGAAAAAACATCAGAGTCTAAGCTGGCTGAGAACCCTCCCTTTCCCACCAATCAGATCTCCTTTTAAATATTTCCTGATAAACATCTCGATCCATTCCTGAGAGCAGATGCCTTTTAAAAAAAATGGATTATATTGCCTGCAAAGTGAGGAAGGCTTCTGTGGTTTATTATAAAACCCAAACTCTTCTGCATTGCTTTTACCACAGAGGTTTCCTGATGGATTTGGAACTGATCCTTGCAGAGGCCTAGCATACAGCATGGTATTAGCCAGACAAATAAGGACACAGATGCTGCTAGCTCTCCCACCAGCAGTCACTGGTTAGAGAAATTTCAAAAGAAAACATATAACATATGTCATGCAGGTGAGATGTCAGAATCTGGCTTGCTGAAGGATTTTCCATTGGCCATTGTTATTATGGACCCTGAGATGCAAGGCCCGATTCACTGCTTCATTACACAAGTAAGACACCACTGATTTCAATGGGTATAACGCAGGAGTGGGCAAACTATAGTCAGGGGGCCACATCTGGCCCTCCAGACGTTTTAATCTGGCCCTCGAGCTCCTGCTGGGAAGTGGGATCCGGGGCTTGCCCCGCTCTGGCGCTGCAGCCGGGGAGCGGGGTCGGGATCTTGCCCCCCTCTGCATGGCTCCTAGAAGCAGCGGCATGTCCCCTCTACAGCTCTAACGCATGGGCAGCCAGGGGACTCCGCATGCTGCCCCTGCCCCAAGTGCCACCCCCGCAGCTCCCATTGACCAGGAACCACAGCCAATGGGAGCTGCAGGGGCAGCACCTGCAGACAGGGCAGTGTGCAGAGCTGCCTGGCTGCACCTCCGGGTAGGAGCCGGAGGGGGGACATGCGACTGTTTCTGGGAGCTGCTTGAGATAAGCGCTGCCTGGAGCCTGTCCCCTGATCTCCCTCCCGCCCTCCGAGCCCCTCAGTCCCAGCCCAGAGCACCCTCCTGAACCCCAAACCCCTCATCCCTAACCCCACCCCAGAGCCCGCACCTCTAACTGGAGCCCTCCCACAACCCAACCCCCAATTTCATGAGCATTCATGGCCCACCATACGAATTCCATACCCATATGTGGCCCTCAGGCCAAAAAGTTTGCCCACCCCTGGTATAACGGACTGGTGAACCAGGCCTATAGCCTTCAAAACTGAGACGAATCCTCCAGGCATTCTGAATAAAGCAGCCTTCCAGCAAGTGGATTCCTGGAGGGTCAATATGATCATCCACTGTGTGTGTCTTGCTTGGTTGTTGATGCTTTTTATTTTTCAGAGGACAAGTGTATTGGGCTAGAGAGTTCTGAATTGAGCTACGCTGTGGTGGGGCAGATCCCCAGCCACATCAGGAAGGCATTAAAGGAGAACAATCAGCCCCAGCCCAGCTTGTTGAACTCTGAGGTGGGCAGGTTCTTAGGAAGGAGGATCAGTGCAGGGTAGCACTCTGAAGAAGCAAACTGCAATTGAGAGCTCTCTAGTTCCCAGCTCCTGGAAGAAGGTGTTGCTGACTGGTGATATAGCTTGAGAGCCTTGTCTGCCCAGGCCCTCTCAGAAAGGAGGAGGGCTGGTATTTTTTTTTCTTTCTTGTGTGGCTTCTTGAAGGCCCAGGACTCTGCTTTTTATGGGTAGTGGCAGCATATGGATGCCCTCAACCCCAAGTCAAGAGCAGTGCCTACCCTCTCCTCAAGAGGGTGCTAGAAAGGTACATTATAGGAGGTTTTTGTAAAGCCATATGTTCCCTAAGGTAGGAATAGAGCATTGTGGCCTGTTACTGTCATTTTGAAAGGTAAGAGTTTGGAGTAGTATCTGCAGAAATTAACCCCACAATTAAGACTTAATTATGCAATACAACAGCTCACTTAGCCTTGTAATGACGATATGTTATGATGAAAGAGTTCCTAACAGATGGCTTCAATTCTCCAAGCTCTGATGCATTGTTAATTTCAGACAGCTTCCAGAATTTAAAAGCAAATGTCTCCCTACCTTGGCAAGTCTGATAAAGCAGTAGTAATCTGCCCTCAAACTATGGCAGGCAGGATTTGTGACAAAATCCTATGCACAAAGTGCTGCCAAATGCACAAACGGCTAAAGTGTGACTTAGACTTTACCCCCACACCAGGGAGTAAGAACTGTTTACTCCTGCTTGGGATACCCAGACCTGGGATCCAGACACACAGGAATAAATTGGGCTATTGCCCACTTATGCCTTTCCCTGGAACAGGTGGATGGAGAGGATCAGCAAATGAGTGGACTGTATTCAGTAACTCCTCACTTAACGTCGTAGTTATGTTCCTGAAAAATGCAACTTTAAGTGAAACAACGTTAAATGAATCCAATTGTCCCATAAGATTTAATGTAAATGCGGGGGGTTAGGTTCCAAGGAAATTTGGGGGGGGCAGAAAAAAGGCATTATACTGTATACTGTACTGTGGTTGGGAAGTGCCCCTGGCTTACCCCACACAGGCACAGCCCGCTGCAGGCAAGGACGCTAGTAAGCACCTTTGCAGCAGCAGCAGCTTCCCCAGAGAACAGGCTCGGATATTGCCAGGAATGCTCCAGGCCCGCCTCTTCCTGTCCCCGCTCCACTCCAGGCCCACCTCTTCCCACCCCCACTCCACCTCCTCTCCAGAGCACGCCACATCCCTCCCCGCCCAAAGTCCTAAGCGCTGCCAAACAGCTGTTTAGCGGTGCTTAGGATTTTCTGGGAGGCAGGAGGAGGAATGGAGATGTGGGGCTTCCCTGCACCTCTCCCTTCCTCCCAGCACTTCATGCTTAGGACTTTCTGGGAGGGAGGGGCAGGAGCGGGGAAGCCCTGCATCTCCGCTCCTCCCCCTCCCTCCCAGAAAATCCTAAGCGCCACCAAACAGCTGTTTGGTGATGGGGGAAGCACTGGGAGGGAGGGGGAAGAGGCGGAGAAGTGGAACTTGTGCAATGCTCCCTTGTAAAGTCACTGCTCTTCCACAGAATCTTATAAGCAGGCAGCCAAACGACGTTATAAGGGAGCATTGCACAACTTTAAATGAGCATGTTCCCTAATTGAGCAGGACGTAACATTGAAACAACGTTAAGTGGGACAATGTTAAATGAGGAGTTACTGTATTTGACAGTGTCTCTTTTAAGTACCATAGGAGAAATGCACCTTGAAGTGAGGCAAAAGGGACCAAACGGTACATTTTTAAAATCCTTTGTCCCCCTGACACCTTATCTGAGTTGTCTTAAGCTTTGCAGAAAAATTCTACCCTATGATGAGCTGGGAGATATGAATTTTCAGATCCACTAGCGTATGTGTCAGGGCTGGCACTTCAAAATGTATAATGGGATGTTAGGGCTTGTCTAGATGGGGACATCCAGGAAAATTAATCTGAATTAACTAAGGGTGTGAATTTGCACCAGATTAGTTAAACCACATTAAATTCCTGTGTGAACACCCTCATTTGGAATTAACATGGCCTTAATCAGGTTTATTTTAAATTCAAGGCTATGTTAATTCTGAAGGAGGGTGTGCACACTGGGATTTAATGTGGTTTAACTAATCTGGTGCAAATTCACATCTTTAGTTAATTTGGATTAATTTTCCTGGATGGCCCCGGGGATGTAAACTCTTAGTTTCAAGCATCATTTATGGAAGGACTAGCTTCTCTCCTTTATGCCAGAGTTTCTGAAACTGTGGTCCATGTGATGATGTGTGGAGCACTTGCTGGTGGTTTGCATAAAACTAGCTGGACACAGGGTGCTGGCTCTCCCTCTTATTCCTGGTTGCTAAACTGTTTTCAAAGGAAGTTAAAAACAAATTGTGTACGCTGGTAACATTATTTTTTCATGTTAGCAAATGCTGTATGTACAACAGTGATATTGGGTAAAACTTTAAAAAGTGTCAGTGACTTATGAACCCAAGTCCCATTTTCAAAAGTGACAGAGGAATCAAAGTCCCATTCACTTGTACGTTGACCTAAGTGCTTAAGTCACTTTTGAAAATGGATTCCTAAGCCACATAAGCACCTTTTTGAAAATTGTACTGTTATGAGATTGCAAATGGGAGAGGAGTTTGATCACTAGACAATCTTTGTATGAAAATATGGCTCTAAGGTGTATTGAAAACTATTAAAACTACCAGTTTAAGGGCTTTCCTGGTCATGATGGCATGCTGTAGAGAAGCATGTGATTTGCATCTTCAGCCATCAGTCTGTAAACTCTGGAGCAAGATGGAGTGAGTTGTGCCTTAGATAGAAAACTACTCTCTTTCTCTCTCTCTATTTGGCGATTGTGTGTTAGAGTTCTGGATTCTTAGAAATAAAGTAGTTTACCGTAAAGCCTTTCAGGAAGCATGTTTTGTTTTATTTGTAACTCTGTATGTCTGCCATGAACATAACAGGTTCAACTATTTCA